ACACACATAAAAAAATACTACATAAAAATATATCTAAGATTTTTAGATATTTCTGTTTTAAATTCTCATGTTATTCACAAAGAACTGGGGGGGAGACTATCTTTGTATGAGTTTAGATTAAAACTTATCCAGCAATTGTTCGACAAGTACAGAGAGAGTACTCAGGGGGTCAGAAAAAATCTGTTATTCAACTTCGGCTTCCATTGACCGTCTCAGTGGTCAGCATGGCCACTTTCTTGATTTCTATGAACTGAACAAGGCTGGCAATAAAAAATGCAGGGCTTGTGTTGTTTGCAGCGCAAGTCAAAAAAGAACGGACGTTTCATTTTATTGCAAACAATGTAATGTCGCCCTTTGCCCTACAAAATGTTTTGAAGATTATCACACAAAAGAAAATTTCGTGTAGGGCACTTGAATATATATTTTTTATTTCTGTTATTATTGTATATTATCATCATGTTTCTATTATCTTGTGTATAACTTTTATTTTTCTTATTGTATGTATTTATCTTGTATATAATTTTTCTAATCATATTTTTAATTTTTTATTATTTTTGTCAATAAATTAAAACATCAAATTACTGTTTTGTTTTTTTTTTTTTTAAATAAGTAAACATGAATTACAAACTAATAGAACATCTCCATTGTCATCTGTTAATCAAATTTCTGTAAGCACCTGGAGAATAAATTCAGAGGAATGAAAAGCTGCGATTTGTTTTCTCTAAGAAATAGTAGTAGTCAATCATAGTAAAAATAAGTCAATTACAACTTTATAAGGCGTTTATAAAAATCATCTTAGAACCAATTGCTTCTAAAGTATCTTCTATAAAGTAACAACAGGAAGTATTGAGTTTTGCAGGGGGTGTGGGTTTTCAGTGAGTAATGGTCAAGACAAGTTCTTTTCTAAACAATGCATAGTAAACATTATTTCTATATTATTTTGATGATTATTGCAGTAATCGACTATACAACGCAAATTTGCAAGCAATTGCTTACGTATTTTCTCTTATTACGTAACGGCGAAAATTTGACTTTGCCCTCACGTATACATAAACAGTTCTGAGTAAAGTTTCTGTTTACAATGTACTCTGTCTCCCTATCTGACTAACTGCGGGGAGTGGAGAGTGGCTCGGGTATTTTTAGGTNATTTATCACAGGAGTTGACCAAGGCTCGGGTATTTTTAGGTCATGACCTAAAAAATACCCGAGCCACTTCCTCACCCCGCGGTTAGTCAGAAAGGGAGACAGAGTACATTGTAAACAGACTTATTACTGTTTATGTATACATAACGGCAAAGTCAAACTTTCCTCGTTATGTAATAAGATAGACTTTTATAAGAGTGAATATTCGACACTTTTTACATATTTTTTCAACGCTTTATATAATAATACCCTATAATAAACGACTAGTTAATTTTTCCTGCGATTACGCAATATCCGGAAGTAATGAGTTTTCCAGAAAATTTTTCAGCTGGAAGCTTTCAATAAAATATCTTCTTGTCTAAGTAGAGTCAAATAGCATGAAAACTAGTAGAATTATGCTCTAAAATAATGAATATAGCTATTTTTTTAACGTTTGTTTTCATAATGACTTCAATCACATGCATTGGTTCTTCGCGGGAAAATCCAGACTAGATGGTTCTGAAAAAAACTCTTCATTCATTAAAGTTAAATCAGTCATAATAAGCGTAGAAACAAAAGTATTCAAGCCAATTAACAGCAAGAACGTCTTCCACAAACTTACTATAGAGAGGTGGAGCTTCCCGGGAATATTTCTTGCTAGATAGTTTTAAAAACATTAATACGATTTAATATTGTCGGATTAGCTAATTTAATGTCTTAGAACGTTAAATTAGTTAATTAGAGCTAAAAAACGATTTAAAAAGCGAATTTATTGTGATTGTTTACATTTTACTTCGAAGGTTGAAGGCGGGACTTTTTGCGGCAATTTTTCCTTTCACCAGTCTCTGATTAGTTACAGTAATGTCAACAAAGACAGAAGATACCCAATAAAACTTTAGAAGGAGTTTCCCTTTGATTGTTTTCAACAACTGTCTAGTTAACTTCGAAGATTTACTGTAAATAGTAGGGGAGTGTTTTTCCCGAAATATTTATTGCCCAGGGGTGGTAACAAAACGCTTATTGGCTTAAACAAAGTCTATCGACCTACAAAAGAGCGAATCATAGCTAAAATCGCAAGAAAACTCGAATATAACGCAAATTATTCAATTTTTTTGTTAAAACCGCGGAATCGCGGTTTCAGCGTCTCATTAATAACAGGTGGTCACATGATCCTGCGATATCGTGGTCGTCGCATCAACAAAGTTAAGCATCGACACGGTTCTCATGGTCCCAAACTGGCTCATTAGCTTTTAGGTCCATTTCGGGAGGAAGGAAGCGGATGAAAACAGTAGTGATGTCTTCATCTAAGGGGACATGGAAATCCCTGACATCCTTAACCACAAAACCAGTGGAAACAAGAAGGCGGCAACTCTCGGTCGACCGAAACCCAATGAAGTACTGGTCCTTGCCCATGGGCGCAAACCAGGAAATCTCTCCTGGCACTAGGGTGTGCTCAATGCCGTCCAGAATCTTGTCGACAGTCGAGCCTTCCGGAACGGTAACATGGGAGCTAAGCACCCTGTGCATCCTGCCGTTGAGGACGGCAGGTTTGGCACATTTATGCTGTGCAGAGACACCAGCATTCAACTGCTCAGTGTTAAAGAACTTATTAGTGTGAGCAGACACTGAAGCTGCTGGAGCCCAATGTGCTGCCACTTTAGTGAAGCTAACTTTCTGGGACACTGAGGGCCCAGAAGTGGCGGAAGCAGTCCCAATAACTACATTACTAAAACTGGCCTTAGGGACCAGAACCGCTGCCTTATCGGCAGTAGTTACCTGTCTAGTTTGACCAGACTGAGCAGTAGAAGCCTTCGCAGACTTCATACCAACCAGCCTCACCCCCTTGAACGTGGGCTGTTCCTTGGCACTAATGTGACCGGAAGCAGGCCCAGGGGCAGGTTGACTAGTCTTAGAACTAGGCTTACCTAAGCTAACTATAGTTGCCTGACTACCAGAAGAGGAAGCTACCCTTAGCCTCGACTATCATTCTAGTAACAGGATCCTCGGTTGGAGTAGTGTCCTCCATCAGGACACTATCCGCCCAAGCGGCAGAAGAAATACCCTCCATGGGTATAAGAAGATAAAAGTAAGGGAAAAACCCTATTGTAAAGATGGGGCCAACTGTGGGGATGTTGACTCGGATTTCCCCGCGAATACGCTAGAATGTGCAGGCAGGTTCTTCCAGTGCAAAAAAGGAAAACTTGTCTCTTTTTAGTTAAAGCCCAGTCACTAAAGGGACCTGGACTTTCTCTTTCAATAAGGAAACCTTACTAAAAGGCGCCTGTTTGGTAAAAACAAACCAAAAAGGTTGAACGATGAAGTGCCGACTTGGGTACTGGAAAACACCCAAAACACACTGAAAAGGTGGAAGACCAACCAAAATTCGATCTTGGCCAAATAAGGCCGAGAAGCGATAAAAAACACATCAAAGGTGCTGACGGTCCAAGTGTGGAGACATACAAAACACTTGTGGTGTGTCCAGGTTACGTCATTCGGCGAACATCCGTTAATACATACGAAAGAAAGTCAGGAAACGATAGGTGACGATACAAAAGGCCAAAGGAATTGTCGGGTATTGCATGAGGAAGGCCTGACAACGGCATAAAACTCCTGTTCATCACCATTCATCACAGAAGGAAAATATGCCGTAGTCCGTAACAGCGTTGTGTCGTGCAGATACTGATAACATTTCGATGCTAATCAGTTTTTCGCTTGCTGCATACGTTGGAAATTTATGTATTTAAAGTACAATAATTGCCGATTCCATATTAAATTATTTTCGATACAAACATTTGCAAACAATTCGATTTTATCCGTTATTTTAAAAAATTTTCGCGCTCATTTATTACTTCAATATAAAGAGTTAGGCTTACCTTTCCTGTTCTTCCCGGTGTTTCTACGTGCAGGCCATGCATGTAGTCCACAGTAGTCACACACTGAAAAAACTGCAAATATTATTTTCCTAGATTCTATTCGAATCGCCGAATAGCGATTTCTACCAAATGCACGTGAGGCTATTTCTTGCACCGCTCCTCTTCATCGTAGCGTGCCGGAAGTAAGCGGCGATGGCGGTTTTTTGCTTTCCACATTTTTTCGTACCTTTAACTTCTGGAATTCGCCCAAATTCTTTTTCCTGCTCTGCCATGCTTAGAGATTGTCTTCCTATATGTGTAATCACTCCTCTGGCATCCTCCGTGAAGGAAATCCAACTGGAAAAAGAAAAAAAAATTTTTTCATAAAAAAATTTTTTTTCTACTTTTTATTAACATTTTCCCCTTAAAGAGGGTGGGCTATCTCAGGCAATAAGTGCCAGGCCTGAGCAACCTGCGGCGGGGAGGGAGCAAGCCCCCTGTCCCGCCCAGTTCCAAAAATCAGGTTAATATCGATGGAAACCGTATCAGATATTAAGCTGATAAGAACAGATTTAAAAAGCCTTTATTATATAAAATTTAAATAATAGTTACAGGGATTACATAGGCAGTAGATGATTATGTACAAAGTGTAAACACATTGTGCGAGTGATAGCGACATGGTCTTGAAGTATGCCAACTAATAAGTACAATAGGTGTAGGTATTGTCGCGAGACATGGGCGTGTTTGCCAGCCAGTAGATAAATATACAAAGGTGTCATGGATATAAAGTGTTCGCGAACATGGGCTCAATTGGCAGCTAGAGTTACCTGTTTTACAATTGTTGGTGAGGCGCGATTACATGGGCATGATTGCCTAGTTGGATTCGGATTCGGTGGGTGTTGATTGTAGTGGACCTGTCTGGATGATGTTTCGGCTGGGGTTCAGTGGAGGTGGGCGGCGTGAGCAATCTCCCAGGTGTTGCCGATATATATCGTTGCTCCACCGTATGGCATCACTGACCATCAGTCATTTCATCATATTGGCATATCGACGGCCGATGCCAAGACGTTGGAGATTGGACTCATTTATGGGGTCATATCCTCCAAGTGCACCAATTATAAAAGCCCCGAAAAACTTGTCGTACCCCTGGCTACGAAGATGTTGTATGAGGTTATGGTACTTGTGTCCTTTTTCTTCCCTCGCTGCATTGAAAGCCGGCTGTTTGTTTTCAAACGGGGTAGTAACGTTTACTACAGTTGCAGTTTTTGTTTCTTCGTGGAGAATGACCAAGTCCGGTCTGCAGTTCTCATGGAAACCGGGAACACGTTGGTTCACCTGTACTGTGGCGCCCCATGATTGAAAAGCATTCACGAGCCTATTAAGTATGGCGTTGTGACGGTGTGTTATGAGACGAAAGTTCGGCGGGCAATGGCACAGTACGTGAGATAGAGTTTCACGAATGAAGCCGCATCGGCGGCAGGTTTCAGCTTCATTTCCAAAGCGCTTGTGGCCACGTAATGCAACCACACTCAGCCTGGCGCGGTGTATGAAGCGCCAGTCTGAAAAGCGGGTGTACTGGCCATTGCTGAGGAAGTGATTGCTCACTTTACTCGAGGCCGTGATCTTGAAGGCCTTACCTTGGTCTGGTTTCACCGTCAGTCTTTGGAGATGATGGAACTTCAGTAGCTTGTCCAGTGTGTGTTGGCAGCCTCTTACCTGGATACAGTTGTTATCGACAGCAATGGTGGGGACGACGTCGGGCCCTTTGGTCCAAGTGATATTGATATTATTTCTTAGACGTCTCGTGGCCATCCTGAGGCGGGTCCATATGGAGGTGGTATCCTTCGATGGGTTTGCTAGGTCGCCCTCCGTGGACCCGTCTAAGTATTGGCAGATGTCTTCAGTGGTTGGAGTTCGCTTTATCCTGTGTGATACCACGTCACCTAAGGCTCCAAGTGCGACGTTGACGAAGTTGTTGTCCTTGGAGTGAAATAGGTGCATGGCATGGCTTACCTGTGATATATCGGAGAGGAGACTTGATGGAGTCACATTGGCACCTCCTTGTTTGTGGGCCAAGTATACGATTTCGGCGCTTGCCCGTTGTGGGACACTGAGCCATCTTTTCACAACGTGCTTGAGGATTCTATCTATTTTGTCGAGCATCTTTTTCGGTGTTGTGCCCGTAGTAAGGCTGAAGGACAGTCTCAGTATGATGAAGGTGTTGAGCGCGTCGAGTTTTTGCCAGGGCGCCAAATGAGATGCATCGATTTTGTTTATGTTTTGTATTATGTCATCGGTGGTGGATGCCTCTGTGTCGCATCTCGAGAATCTGGTGGGGACCCCAAGGTGCTTGTATGCGTCGTTGTTGCCAAGTTTCGGTAGGTCCGCTTGATCGAGGGAGAATACGTTGGTACGTGCAGTGTGCAACTTACCTAGTATGGCCAGAGTGCCGCACTTTGCATGGTTAAATTTGATGCCTGCCCATTTTGCCCAGGCAGCGATGGAATCAAGTTGGTCTTGGAGTTCCTTGCTGCTGTTACTTACCAACGCCACATCGTCAGCATAGGCAAGGGCGTCATCCGTGTGGCCGTGGATAGTGTAGCCTTTTGCTAGGGCCTGGAGACGACGAAGTGCAGGCTTAACTGTCAGGATGAAAAGGAGCGGGCTGATGGGGCATTCTTGCCTTACACCTGATAGCATGGCAACTGGTTTAGTTAGGCCAGTGTGAGTGCGGATCCTGGTAGTTGATTTGTCGTATAGCAGCTGGATGGTGGCGATGGCGTCTGGGTGCAGGCCATGCCATTTGAGTGATTCCCAGATAATGGAGTGGGGAATGCTGCCAAATGCGTTAGCAATATCCAGCCACGCTATATAGCATTCGTTACGGGTATGCCTGGCATCCTGGATAATTGATTTGAGCAAAAAGTTATGCTCTACACAGCCTTGATAGTGTAAAAACCCCTTTTGGGCGGTGGAAATACGACTATTTGTGTCGCACCACCTTAGTAGCCTATCCGCCAGGCAGGCCGTGTAGAGCTTGTCCAGGGTGTTGGAGAGTGAGATAGGTCGCCAATTTCTTAGGTCTGCTTGGTCCCCTTTTTTATGAATCAAGACAGTAGTGGATTCCTGCCAGTCTTGGGGGATGTATCCAATCCTCTGTACCGAGTTAAAGAGAGCTGCAAGAATAATGCCCCTCGGGTCCACCCGCCTCCAATGCAGGTAACGGATTTTGTCAGGGCCCAGAGCAGTATTGTGGCCCTTGGCGATACGGACAGCCACTTTTTCTGGCATGAACGGTATATTGATTGGGTCCGTCGTAGTTGCAGGGGCTGGATCTGGATCTATGGGAACAGGAGTTGCATCTCTAAGCAGGCAGTTTTTGTTAATGTCCTTGAAGTGACGGTAGATTGTCTCTGGGTTCCCTTGGCAAAAGCGGGATTTGCCTCCGATAATGCGATCAAACGCCCGTTTCCTATTAGTGCGATAGAGGCACTGGATGTTGCTGGCCTCGAGTTGGAGAGGGGGATTGCGGCCCGAGGTGTTGTTCGGGTTCCTTCTTGGCCCCTGAATGTCGCATATGTTATAGGTTAACCTCATGAAGTCATGTAGGACGCTCTCAAGCATATCTTCGTCGAGCACAGCGTTGAAGCGGTCTGCCCACGCTGTGACCCACTGAGGGGGGCTGTCGTTGGAGTCCAAAGGCGGCTGTATGGCTGTCGGTGGTTGTTCTGCTGACAGAGCGCCGGGCGATGGCCGAGGGTCCTGATGCTGAGGTGGTGTGGGTCTTGCAGGTAGTGCCGTAGTGTCGTTTTCTGTGGCAGTTGAGGTCTGCGTAGGAGTAAGGTTAGAGAGATTGGTCCTACCTGGTGGTGGCAGTGGGGTGCCACCTGCTTGCGGCATTGCCGACCGGGTAGGGCTGGATGGTTCCAGCTGGCTGACACTGCAGGGCGGAGGCGGCTCCGGATTTCTTCTCGTGGAACGTCCATTTTTCCTCTGTCGTGTTGCCGTGGTGGTGGTCGCCGGATGCTGCGACGTTGTGCTGGTTGCTGGCACTATGGGGCTTGCTGCTACCTGGCTGTAGAGGCGTGGTGTGTTGGTTGTGCTGGAAGAGGGACCTGGTGGTTCTCCTTGGGCGTGGCACCACTTGCCTGGTTGATGGAGATAGGGATGCCGAGCTCCAAGATGCATTTCCACTGCTGGTGGGTGAGGTAGTCGGTGCGGCCCTGGATTTTCTCCAGGTGTACGGCTTTCTCAGCCTAGTTGGAATACGTACCAATTTGCGATTTGCCGGGAGCACTGGTGGAGGTGAGAAGGCCTCGATCTTGGTGCGGCAATCTTCAGCATGAAGTTGGTGCGCTTTCACAGTTTTAAGCTTTTCATGGGTATACCCACATGCACGGCACTCAAATTGAAGTGTGGTGCTATGAATTTGCTTTAGATGTATTACCAGCCCGGCATGGTTTGCATAATCCCGAGGAATTGGCAGGCATAGCTGGCAACCATGGGGTGGATGCAGTGGAACAAGAATAGTTTATACTGCCATGGCTTGGCAAGATCAAGGTGTAGCTAGATAGAAAAAGGACAAAAAGAGTGGAAAGTGAAATGCCCCCTGGGGTGCAGAGCAGCCGGCCAAGGAGGGGAAGAAAGGGTTTAGTGCGTAGGAGATCTATGCACTAGAAAGAAAGTGCTTGAGTGAGACACCCAAGGGTGCTCAAGCAAGGCATCAGAAAGGAGGTAAGCCTAGGCTGACGCCGATAGAAAAGTGTTGCCAGTTGAGCAGTGAATACACGGTGTGTTTAAACCGTGCAGGCTGCTCTTCTGGCGGAAGAGAGAAGAGAGTAGGAAAGAAAAAATACCAAAAGTAGCTTACCTAGGGCCGGGGAGCAGCTAGCTCGGAATCCGGTTGGCGTCCTACGAAGTCAGCAGAATCAGGAACAATTAAGCTGATAAGAACAGATACCGCATTTATTAAAGTTTGCTGGGATCCGAAGATCCCGCAAAGCACCACCCCTGGTTACCCCTACCTACTATAACCGCTGCAGCAGGCGGCGAGCCGGAACGGGGACCTCGGTGATGCCCGCAGTCACAAAAATAAGCCAAAATAGGCTTTTGTCACCGACCAGATGGATCCGACCAAATTGTGAAGCCGCATTTGTGCCCCCACGAGGGATAGGTGGGGACGGGATACTGGTGGTTTCAAAGTTTGTGGGACCATTAATGCCAAAAATCCAGTTACATTTCCTTCACGTGCATGTTGGTAGCATGTTATATACCCGCATGCCACGAGGAGCGAAACCAACCACGGCAGAGCGCATTTATTTGTTACTTTGAA